TGGACTGATACGAGCGGCGACATTTTGTCGAGCAGTACTGCGGTGTGGAGACTGAGCGCTCTTTCTGAAACGATATCAATTTCAACGATCATTTTGTACAAAAAAAAAGAGAAAAAGAGAAAATCACCTCTTTGAATGAAACTTTGCAATAAAGGCATCGGTCTTCAGGCGAATCCTCGGATGAAGGCAGCATACGCATGCTTACCGTTGGTGTATTCAAAACTGCTAGCTCTTTTTCCCTTTCCTTCTCCTTTTCTTTTGCTTTGTCATGTTTCCCGCTGCCTAGAAGAAGACATCAAAATGTTACTTACTCCCAAAATCATCAGATAGTCTCGGAAGATTACAGAGTTATGTGAAAAACAATATATGTTACGAGGAAAAAGCCGTGTACAGGGTTATTCGGTGGCTTTGATATAGAAAATAAGGTTAAGTTATAAACGATGCGATATCCTTCCGCTTTTGTAGACCATAATTGATGCTTTCCATAGTAAGAAAGACATAGTGCAATAACAAATATAAGATTCGACACTATAGATCCTTTTTCAGATAATAAGTACAAATCAAGCAAACCGAAAAACATAATTAGAGGCAACATAATCAGACAGATCAAACTGAAAATATGGAAAAACATCCAAATTACTGAGACAAACGCATGCACACAAACACTGAACTCACTTCTCTTTGATGAATGGCTATGTGTATCCGAAGAGTCGACAGAAGATCGAGAGCGTTCAGGTTTCACAGGGCTTTCGCTGACTGTCGACTGAGAACTTCTCTTCTTCTGCTTTGTTCGCGTTTTCTCTGCATGGTCGGATTTGTCATGTTCGTCGCCAGTTTCTGATGAAAGACGTTTTTCCTTGTCAAGCACGCTTTTTCGTTTCTCTGTATCCAGAATACGCCTTCCAGCATCTTTTGGACCGAAATCCATACTTAAAAGTAACTCTAGCTCATTTGTCCTTCTTCTTGGTGGATGTTGCACGGGTGTTGCACGTCGATTCTGAACGAGGTCCAAGTGTGCAATCCTCATAAATGAGATTACAATTACAAACCTTGGATTGCTTGCGGTCCTCAACGCGTTCCTCGGGGGTAGCTTCAGGTTCTTCTTTCTTAGGCTTGTTCTTCTGTTCTCGCCCTTCTGTATGAGTGTTTGACC